TATCTCCAGGCCGGGCGAAGAACCCAGCCTCATTGTTGGTGTGCAAGTTTGGCGACACACTGGTTGGAACACTGGCTGGAGCAGCGCTAGCAAGAGCACTGCTGCTGGGGAAGGAGCAAGAACGAGGAGGAAGAAGACCAGGAGGAAGGAAGAGCGCCAGAGGTACTTAGCTGGATATGCTGGCAGCCATCTTCATCATGTTGGTGGGCGCTGCATCAGGAAGGTCCCCGTGGGGGCAGAGCTACACCAAGAAGCTTCAAGGCGGAATCAGGCATGGTGGCCTGAGCTAGAGCAGCCATAGCTTCTTTGCTTTGTCCTTTGGACATCAGGGCAAGGCCCGAGTAGTCCGCCATAGTCTCGGCCTATGAGAGTGAAGAGTGAGGGAGGCGGCAATGGCTATGTTGGACCTCAAGTGATACCTGCAGTAGAAGAGGGATTCCGACATTGATTCTAGTTCAGCCATTCAACATTGTACTATTATTTATTGTGTGAATAAGAGAGGAGTAAAAGAGGAGGATAGTGTTTGGCGACAAAGAAGAGCATTATCATATGTCTATGCTGGTGTACATCATCTTCTTCTTCTTTCTTTCTTCTTGTTCTTTCTTTCTTCTTGTTCTTTCTTCCTTCTTCTTTTTCTTCTAACCCTCTCTATCCTCTCAAGTTTATCATTTCTTTTTGCAAGTGGATGGCATTGTACTATGTGATGAATGTGTACTTCGAAATTGACCAAGATCTTAACAGAGAGGCAAGTCACCGTACCTAATCACCCAATTATCCTGCTGGATCGTGGGCCTGTTCTTGAGAATGAGCCGCCTAACCAAGGGGAGAGCCTCCCTCAGCTTTAGGGCCTTGTCCTCCATATTTTTCCCGTGTTTTAGCTTGAGATGCAGCTGATCTGCCATGAGCCACTCCCCCCTAAGCGGAGCCCATAGGTCCTTCACGGTATACACACCTTTTCTTGCTCAGGTACTTCAGGGGAGTTCGTTGTTATCTTAAAGGGGTTGCCCTATTCGTCAAGAATATAGGGGCTGCCAAAAAGAGATAGTCTCCATATATTGTGCCATCTATTAGGAGGTTGTTTCTGTTGCGACCCCGTCTCCTCCAAAGTTTGAGCATCTACAGCCACAGGGGGTCCATGAGCAGATCAATCCTGGTTGCTCGTGTCGGGGTGTTCGCCATGTCTCTGTTGAGGTGGGGAGGGTATCGTCCAGTGCTTATTGGTCAGCCATTGGAAGGGATGCAGCCTAATTGCTGCTCCCGACTGGGTCAAGTTAACAATCTGCAGGCAGGCTAAGGGAGCCCATGGGATATTGTTCCCTACCAGCAGCCTAACCAAGACCATAAACCACCAGTACCAACGGTTGTTCCTATGCTACTCCTGAACAACCCGGCCCTCAGCCTACCGATATCCAAAAGCTTGCCGAGCCTCGAGCTACCGGTAAGTAAACAAAAAAACAACAACGATAGGAAAGAAAAGAAAAAAAAAACATTCTTCACATTAAAAAAAAAAAAAACAAAGAAAACCAGAGCACCCCGCTTCTATCAGGGCGCGCACGCAAGATAGATAGATAGATAGATAGATAGAGATAAATAGATAGATATATAGATAGAGATAGATAGATAGATAGATAGATAGAGATAGATAGATAGATAGATAGATAGATAGATAGATAGATAGAGAGAGAGAGAGATAGAGAGAGAGTCTCGGTGTTGTGCGGGGTGTTCCACGCAGCCCACCGAGACTCTGGGTGTCGCTCCACTACTGTCGACATGGACAAAATGCAACAATCATGGCGGTGTATCTTTCCATGTTCTGGCGGAAGATTCACTCTCGTTTTGTACATTTCAAGAGTAGTGAAGTGAG